CTTGTCCCCAGGGGTGGGGGGTGGTGGTTGAAAAAAAGTTTGTTCTTGCATTTCTGTATATATGCTGTCACATTTTCAATTCTGAAAACCAATAAATAAAGTGGAAAAACCCAAGTGTCTCACCGACGACATTAACATATGGTGCAGCCTGAATTTGTTATCCTTCCTATCTACTCAACTTTGAATGTTAAACTAAAAAACTTGCTTCTGAGACCTCCTAGCTGTTGATAAGGACATGGTAACCATAAGCCACTAAACCAATCAACATTACTCTCTACTTGCAGCAGTGCTACGGAACATACAAGATCTGACTAGTTTTCTGTGTCTGCGCTGATCTTTGTCATTGTTCGTCTTTACTGGTAGTCATGCATCCTGCCCCTCCCTGTCTGGACAAGGTGCGGCTCAGGTAGAAAAAAAGTAAAGAAAAGGGAAAGCGTTGATCAATCAGAAAAAGTCTGTGCCTCACACAGCTATCCATTTCCTGAGGCAGAGTGAACACATACACTGTAACACCGTGAGGAATGAAGGTTGTGTAACATTATCCTGCCTGTTTTATAATCTCTACTGACTTATCTCATTGTTTCCAGACTTCTTTTTCCCTCCACTACATTTATCTGAAAGCAGGAATTGAGTTATTTTGCAGCTAAAGATTTTACATAAATAAACGGCTTCTTGGGGTACCTTGGACTGTCCAGCTCCTGACCACTGTTGCCCTCTTGCTCTGTGTTGCACCATTTCTGTCATCATTACACAATTTTTTCAAAAATCTCTATAAAACTAAATTATGACAGCACAGCAGATACACACATTTAAACTAGATTAGGTCATACCAAACTAGAGTCTGCCATTGGGTTCTAGTGCAGTTTCACTTGTTTTAGTGGACTTTATATGAAAAAAGCTGATGTATTGTAATTAAAGGATTATATCTCACATAGAGGCCCTTTTCTCCAGTTTTTGAGAAAATTAAATTAAATCTGAATCTTGCCCACTGCACGTCCTCTGCTCTGGACAGTGTTATTTCAAAATCAGCATATAAATCCAGTATTGGGAGGTTTATGCTGAGCTAGCAGATGAGCCAGTGAGTGGCTTTTCAGACGTCGGTCAAAGAGTATAGTTGCAACATGATGCACTGGCACTGAAATCAGACTGTTTCATAAATGGACAGCAGGCAATCAGGCCAAAACCACCAGAGCCTCCATCCTGCACGTCTGTCTACTCACTTTGACCTCTGCGCCACGCAGAGACCCATGCGTGGCCCGGGTGAACACAGCCAGTTCAATGGCTGTATATGAAGTGCTCTGCTTTAACTGATGGGTTTTAATAAGGCCAATACCAGTATTTTACTCTCTCTACTCTGGGTCTACTATTATATATGACATTATTAGATTATTATAGGACTCATGCTCATTTTCAACTATTTTGTATGTTATTTTCATCTGCTGATTATTTTGTAAATTAATCCATTGATAGTGACAAATTCTGTCATATTTATCTAGAAACCAAAGTGACACATTTACAACAGTCCAGACCTCAAAACTATTACATATTTTAAATTTAATTAAAAGGAAAATCAGCAAATCTTCACATTTAAGAAGCTGAAACCATGAAAATATCTTTGCATGAAAATCTGTCAAAATAGTTCACAATTACTATTCTGTCCATTAATTAATCAACTAATGGTTTCAGTGGTACTTGTACATAATGTTGGGTAATTTATTTACTAACAAAACTAGTCCAAAAATCTTAAATTGTAAATAGTACAGAAACTAGTAACTAAAGCCGTCAGATCAATAAAAAATACAATATTGCCCTCTCAGATGTTCTGGAGTAGAAGTAGAATGTGAAAAGTACAAGAACCTCAAATTTGCACTTAAGTACAGTACTATTTACTTAGTTACATCCCACCACTACTTTTCACACATGTGAACGTGAACAGCACTTCCAACCAGCCTTCATATGCAGAGAAGTCTCCCCTAATCATGATGATTGAGTAAGATTTGATCAGAGCTTGTTATTGTAAAAGTGCAATACAAATGTGTGTCTCAAGACATCTTTACAGAGATGAGGACTGTTCCTACCTGTTGGTACGGGGTGCAGTAGACCTCAGAGCCTGTGAGGCCGCAGGTGGAGGAGGCGTGGAGCTGGTGGGCCCTGCCCAGGAGTAGGTCATTGCTGGGTGGGTAACAAGCCCCCCGAGAGCAGTCTGTCTGGGCCTGTGCTACTGCAGCTATGGCTGTCAGGAGGAAGGCAGCACAGTGAGAAACCATGAAACATTATAATGTGTTGTAACTATATGACCAACATCTGTCATCAAAAACGAGAAGAGCTAACTTCTACACAATGAAATCAGTGAAATGAAAATATTTTTCTGAAGGTCCTCTTTCAAGGTCCCCTGTGGATCCCTGGACCCCAGGTTGCGAACCACTGCTTAGATGATGCTGCAGTTTTTTAAATGTCCTTTTTCCACCTTAAAGCTGCGTAGGTAATTTTTCTAAAAATATTTTTGTCATATTTGCTGAAACCTTCACTATATCCTGACAGTAGTACATATAACAGATAATCTGTGAAAAAATCAGATTCCTCTGGCTTGTTGTAGCGCTCTTAATGGCATTTGCAAGACCGGGCCTGAACAAAAACAGAATCAGAACCTACTGCAGCTTTAATATCACTGTATTCTGACTCCAAAAGAAAAAACGCCTAAAAAGGAAGCACGGGATAGATCTGTGGTACTCAAAAAGAACGCCTTCTTGTGGTCTCGACAAACTCAGAGTCAAGGTCTATGCATTTCTATGAGAAAGTATCAGCCTTAAAATGTGATTTTAAGGCGGATATTAAGAAGCTGTCACCAATATGTTTTCTTTAAATTTGGACAAATCCAAGTATTTTCTGTAACGTCCTTGTCAGGGTGGAAGAGCCTAAAGCAGACCCAGACTAGTGAAATCCTGTCAGAGTTTACAACTCTTTAAACATGTGCCATCACGACTAGAGAGACGCAGAGAACGCAGAGAATGCTTGAATTTCACTCGGGATAAATAAAGTATCTATCTATCTAACGCGGGTTTTTATTCCAACACGATAATTTCAAGTTAGTTTCTCCTCTCTGCTAGAAAACTAATTGATCAGTGTGATCAATTGCTACTGTTAATCCCAATGGTTTAGGGATGTAAACATCTGGAGAGTTTAAGGTGAAAGCTCCAGGAGAGATTTTGTAAAACAGAAGATAGGAAATAAAATATAAAAGCAACAGACAAAAAAAGGAAATCTTACCAGCTACAAGTAGAAGTATTCTCATGTTGTGCTCTTCTTATAAAAAGGTCTGAAACAGAGAAAACAAAAGAATATCAGCAAGCAGAAACAATCAAAGCCAGTTGAGGGTATTTCCTGACGCGGGGCTCACCTGGCAGTGTATCAGCTCTGTTATCTGCTGTATTAAAATGTGTGTTGCTGCCAGGCGGCTGCTTTATAAATACAGTCTCACCTGGACGCTATGATACAGTGTGTGTCAGAGTCACACCCTTCACCGCCACTCCCTTCACTCCATGAATCAACAAACACACACACAGGCAGACACGCAGGCTGACGCAAGGAGCCACATGAAATACTATTGTGAGCTCAAATAACAAACTAAAACTGAACTCAAATGATTTTTAATATATTTTTGCCTTTATTGGATGGGCAGCTGAAGATAGGAAAGGGGGGAGAGAGGGGATGACATGCAGCAAAGGGCTACGGGTCAAAGTTTAAGTGTAAAGTGTAAGGACTCTTACATGAGACGCCAGCTCTACCAGCTGAGCTATCTGGGCGCCTCTACTGTTAGAGATAATTTAAATGCCAATGTTTGTAGATTTGTTTGTAGATTTGTCTCTTGCAATGTCACTGTGAATATTTTTGCATGCTACCATGCTTAACAAATTTACTTCAAGGTCATTACTGGCTGCCCAAAATACAGCCTCAAAGAGCCACTACCAGGCTGTGGACACCAACTGCGTTCTAAGCCTTAAAAACCCTTAAGGCTATGGGGAGTGAGTTTCACACTAGAAAAAAAGCCATGTCTGGCACACCAGTCAGATAATGTCCTTAGAGACAGATAATGCAGAAATGTTTCATCGCTTATTAGCTAGTATGGTAATCAGGTATTTATTATTATTCATTAAAGAATTGTCATGTGGATCACTTATATATCATTATTATTCATAACTCTATATGAACACTGTTTTGTGGTATTTTCCAGAAACACTGTCACACTGACTCCTTCCTTTCTCTGCAGACACAAATACACAGCCTGCAGGCAGTGTTTAAGCTCTGCCGTGTGCTCATCATCACCCGCGTGGAAAGATATAGCAGCCCGAGGGCCAGCTGAACACACACCTTATGCTTTTCTCCGCTCTGCGCAGACACACTGACTAAGTCCAAGTACAGGGTGTGTCTCCTGACTCAACTAACACACACACAGACTACTGTACACACACAGCTTCAGACAAGTGCCATCACGCCTTCAGTGGCTCTGGATGGCAGCTGGAGCTGTGATTTATTTCTTGGTAACAGCCTGGTTGTTTCTCCTCTTTTAACACCCACCCTTGGTTACAGTGAGATGGAGCCAAAGCTGCTTCATTGGAGGTGTTGGTATCATAAAGTGGTAAACATCACACAGGAGCAGATAAGCAACCAACACCCAAGACACTAGAAAACCAACTATGTCTATACCTTCTAATTAAACTCATGTGTGCCTGTAAATGTTTCTGCAATAATGTTTGTTAAGGTAGATAAAATATATGGGTACACACACAGGCAAACACACATACACATTGATAAGATTGTGTAACGTTGTTACTGTTGTCGCTGCTCGCTGTCCCCCATCGTTGCTGCTGTCATTGTCATCGTCTTTTTCACTATTAATAATTAATAATTAATTAATACTATTAATGTAGTTAATACCCAATTCTGTCAATTCTTGAGTTATGACCAAAAACAAGGTCATTTTGAGTTCACAGTGACCTTTGACCATCTAATCAGTTATCCTTGAGTTTGCAACGTTTGTTTGTTGTGAAAAGATATCATTTTCACAACAAAGGGACACACCCTGTATGACTTGATGATTATGTAGCTTCTATCCTCTGTTCCTTCATGCTTTACATATGTCTGTATCTTAAGTTGTGTCAATCATTTATCTATTCTGAATGGTCATTATTGACACTAGGTGTGTGATGATTAGACTGCTGCTACTCACAGACACACTACTGCAGTATACAACCTGACTGTTTTTATTGTAGAATTTGATTTGTGAAACAGAAAACAAAATTGTAAATAAACAGAACCCTTTAAAAAAGGCTGCTATGACAAAATTCAGGACAGTTAGATTGATTGGTCATAGCAGGAAATGCACAGGTGTGACTAACACTGATGATTATAATGATGGTCATTTCATTTAGGTGTGCCAGTGAGCCATCCCAGTGAGCCAGCATGCACAGGAGGGCTCTGAAATCGGAAATATTTCAGTGTTATTAGTTACTGTCAATACTGTAAAAGAAAAGTCTATTATAGATCCCATCAGTGTTATGAATAGAGGCAATTGGTTTGGTCCACTTAGCGAGAAAGATAGGTGCAATTGAGTTAAAAAATTGATTGGTTTAAAAGGGAAAATTCCTTTTCAATTTACCCTTTGTAAGCCCCGCCCATTTTTGCTCTGTGCTCCAAGTAACAGTTAAGGCAGGCTGCTCGGTCAGCAAACCATCGGTTCAACTTCCTCATTTTGCTGCTGCGACTGTAGGATATGCTTACTGTGCGTAGCCGGCTATCTAGGTATTTAAGAGGAGACGATCCACATTTTTAGGTTGGTTATAAAATAAAAGAGACATATATATAGTCCCATATTAAGCGAGCTAATGTTAGCAAAACACTAGCTAACTAGCTAGCTAATCTATATCAATCATTAACTGGCTAATAACTAGCCGGATAACTACATCACTAATAATTGATGTTGATTAGCTAGGAAGATAGCTAGTATTTTGTTAACAGTTGCTAGCTATCTTAAGTGGGGCTATATATGTCAAGCCTAGCACATAGCATACCTAAGCACACGAAAGGAGAAAGTTGATGTAGATTAGCTAGATAGTTAGCTAACGTTTTGCTAACATTAGTAACTTAAGACGTGACTACATATACAGGTCTCTTTCATCTTTTAACCATCTTCAAAATATGGTTGTCATTTCAACGTAGACGAGCCTAGCACATAGCATATCGAACAACTTTCTTTAAGGACAAAGCAGTAGGTGTCATCATGCAGTGTCTGTTCTACGTGCTGTCCCAGCTGGCAGACAGAAACAGTGTTTCCCTGATGTGATTCAGAACAAACATCTCTGCGTTTCCTGCTCTGCTTCACATTAGTCATCATTATCGTGTGTGTGGTACGTGTGGGCCATTCCACTCTGACCACAGTTCACAGCGTGAAATGCTACAGGGTAACTGGGTTGACACAACCTTTCCCCTGATTTGGAGGCTGTAGATGTGGAAGATTCACTTGGACTCCATCAGCCCAATGAAAAAGCCCTGGTCTGGTCACCTGTACGGCACCGACCTGACAAACAACTGAGGAACCTCACGTGTTCATTCCTGTTTTCTTTTTTTTAATATCAGCTTGACATTTGACACAATTTCCTTCTCCTCATTGTGTCAGTGTTTGTAGCAGTCCTTGAAATGTGTTAGTTAAGTATGAATAGATGAACAGATAGATAGTTTTAGGCAGAAATAATATCATTTGTTGGGCTAGGAACTAATACTATGGCTATAAGACTGTGGAACCTAAAAAGTGTTGACCATATGAATAATGTGAACTATTGGAAGAATGTTTTGTTTGTCTGAAATTTTCTGATTAAATTACAATTTTGTTTAGAAAAAAATACAAAACCAGGTTCCTCTGGTTCCTCCTAGTGCTCCTAATGGCATTTGTAAGAATCCACCAGGCCTGGACGAAAACAACGAATCAGACTTGAGAAAGACGCTTTGGGTTAGTGGTTTGAAGATAGTTGATTGGACACATTGGACATTTCCAGGGGACAAAATACATCAACCACTTCTCTTATTATTGTAATAATATTATGAATTTATTGTAGCTTTAACATCCTGATTGTAGAATAGCAATATGAGGCTAGTGGAGATACTGGCTATACAACAGCCTCATGCCATCAGTTTTTAGTGTCCTATTTTTTTTTTGTATTACGCAAACTTTATTTATATAGCAACTTTAATACAGATGAGTGCTGTTCAAAGATAACTGACAAGACAATAATAGCAAATGAAATAGATTAAAAGGCAAAACATGGGATGCAGACGATTTATACTTCTTAAATGGAAGGGAAAACTATTTCTGACCTATATAGAAAAAATGGACACCGGTGAGATTACAGTTCAGTACTGCTGACCCTATATCACATATTTATTAATATTGTTTACTTATTTGTAATTTTTTCAATTTTTTTTTCACTTAATCTTTTACTCAATTCTTATTTACTATTTATTTACTTTTCTTATCTATTTTTGTCCTATTGACTATATTTATATGTACAAGCAACTCTTGTTGCGGCTGTGGCTCAGAGGCAGAGCGGGTCATCCCCTAATCGGAAGGTTGTTGGTTCGATCCCCAGCTCCTGGTGCCACATGT